AACACCACCCAAACCACCACAGATTAGCTCAAACCACCAACAAACAGATCAGCCAACACAGCCACATACCAACGACAGATGCGCCCAACACCTATAGACCATCCAACACTACCAACAACAAAGCCACTACCAACAAATCACCATACCACCACCGCCATTACCACCGCACACACTACAACACCACCCAAACCACCACAGATCAGTCCAAACCACCGATAAACAGATCCACACAACACCCACAGACCATCCTCCAACACAGTCGACCCACACACCCACAAACGGTTTATCAATGTTCGAAACATGTTCATCGATGAGCACATTTCAGTTTCGCCCCCTGTCCAATCAGTAAGGAACCAAAATCAGACTCTAAAGCTTAGATCCCATAGCAGCATGCTTTACAAAGAAATCGCAGCAGTGCCTCGCATCGCTGCTGCGATTCACAGCAGCGTCGGGGCCTCGACTCTGCTACGGAGGGGGAGAGAGAAGGGAGGTGGAGGGGGATGAGGATGAGGATGGGAGGAGAAGCATGTGGAGGCGCAACCGGTGGAGGCGACGACCAGTGGAGAGAAATGGTGAGAGAGAGAAAGAGTTGAGAGATGGATTATTTTAGGGTTTGGATAGATTTAGGGATTGATATTTAAAATAAAATACCTGATTTTTGTTTAAATAAACTCTCAACCTGATTTTTAAATTGGTGTAAATTATACACCTGATTTTTTGTAATTTCCCAATCATTTTTCTTTGCATAAAGATGGTAATGGTCCAACCAAAGACGTCTTCATCATTGAAACACCATCTTTTTAGTATGCATTCTGACACAATAAAATCAGTTTGATTTATCGTGCAAATCCATGCATCAACATAAAAAATTGCATGAAAAGTGTCATGGAATCACAAAACTCAACTAAAATATTGGAATCTCGGCTTAATCATGACTTTCAATATAATAATGAGAGTGTCAATTTATAAAAATAATCAAAAAGTCCCTTAAAATTGTCTATAAAGTGTGTCATTAACACAACAATAAAATGAGTAGAAAATTAAAAGGTTGAAATTAAAGGATTAAGAAGCTAGAAAAGGAATAAATCTTAGAAATTCAATCTTTCACTTTGAAAAAAATGGCCTTAGAGGGTCGACACACTCGAAAATCTTAGCATTCATCAATTGAAATGCCTTTTTCCAACTAAAATCTTGTGAAAAACTTCTTTCTTCCTTCAAACATAAAGGTCACCCAAAAAGTAACAAAACCTTGCTAAAATTTTCCATGGGAAAACTACACTACTGATTAAAAAATAATTTTTATTTTTAGCGTCGTCTGTTGAAAATCTTACAAAACCTCATTGGAAGTTGCAAGATTCGGTTTTCTTTACCCTTCACCTGTTAATATAATTATTTTTATGATGGCTAACTATCTTGTCAAATAAACTTTAATAGGATTCCACAATAACTATGCTTCTTAATGTGCTTTTTAATAAGAACTCTCAATTATTTTCAAAAAAGAATTCGGGTCACATCTAAATTCTAACAATTTTGGTGGTTAATAACAAAATGAGCCTAAAGCATATTTTTGGTTGAATTATTTGAATATGCTTCTTCTGCAAAATTTCATTCACACTACAGATTCCTAGTCTCCTGCTTCCACTTATATTTGATATATTCCCTGTAGCTAAGGGATTAAATCCATTTCTAATAGTTTCAATCATCATCAAACCAAAAAATGGATTTTCAAAGAGAGGTATTAGTACTAAGATGGACAAAGTTAATCATTTCCCGTTAAAAAGTTTAAGGCTACTTTCCTCTAAATTGTTTTGTAATATTTTATAAATTATAACTATTAGATCAAATGAAAGTTTGAAGGGGAATTAGTTCTCATAACCCCCCTTAATCTAGGGATGGCAAAAAAGCTCGTCGGCTCGATCAGCTCCGGCTTGGCCCGGTAAAAGCCCGAGCCGGGCCAAAAGCTCGTCGACTCCGTCAGCTCCGGCTTGGCCCGATAAAAGCCCGAGCCGGGCCCGGCTCGAGCTCGATTACATCGAGCCGAGGCTCGGGCAGATCCCCATTTTGGGGCGTTGGCTCGAGCCCGAGCCGGCCCGTTGCTCGGACGAGCCTACCTATTATTAAAAAAAAAAAAATTTTTTACCTTGAGCTGCCTGCAAATAGCTGCTTGCAAAGGCAGCATGTTGTTGGGCCGGCCCGGGCGAGCCTGCCCATTATAAAAAAAAAAAATTTTAATAAATTTTTTTTACCTTGAGCTGCCTGCAAATAGCTGCTTGCAAAGGCAGCATGTTGTTGGGCCGGCCCAGGCGAACCTGCCCATTATAAAAAAAAATTTAAAATAATTTTTTTTTACCTTGAGCTGCCTGCAAATAGTTGCTTGCAAAGGCAGCATGTTGCTGCCCAGCAACAGGCTGCCTTGCAACCTTCAATTTAAAAAAAAAAAATCCAAAAAACCCGAGCCTCATTTTTTTTGNCTCGACTCGTTGACATAGCTACCTCAATCTTCATTTGTGCAAAAGGCTTTTGACTAAATTTTCTAAAATAAAATAATATTTAATTATTTAAAAGTATGAAAAGACCATTTTAACCATTCTTTTAAAACCAAATTGAAGAATGAATTGGGTCTCATTCACGACAAAAATCATATTCTTTCCCAAATGAAAATTGAAAACCTTCTTCTCCTTCAAATTCCCAAAAGCTGTCTTCTTTTTGAAATTTCCAAACTCGTTTTCTCCTTGACGTCAAAAATCACATATTCTCCTTCTTGTAAGGGCGACAATTGTGGAAAGATTTTAAATTGAACGAAGACATTGACATGTTGAGGGAGGATTTTGA